CTGAAACATAGAAACTACTGCTTAATCTAATTGCTAAATAGTCAAACAAATATGACTTTGGATAAAGTAAGATAGGCATTGGATGAAAGAAATAAGGATGCTGAGCATAACTATAAAGTAAATAGATACAAACTTCAAAAAGTTTGTGGAAAAATAGAATTAAAAGATAATACATATCAGATCATGAGCATTTATTGTGCAGGACAACAGCAAATTTTAGGCACAATAAACTGTCTAAACATTACCAATTTCTAAATATTTAAATACTGACAAACCCATTTCTTACGGAAGAGATTCTATAATGTGATCTGGACACAGACTTGCATTGATGGAACTAATCCCAATGACTTATTTTTTAAATAACAGACTTCATTTTTAGAGTGGTTTTAGGTTTACAGCAAAATTGCACAGAAAGCAGAAAGGGTTCCCATATACCTGGTCCTCATCCTACCCCTACACACAGTTTCTCCAATACTTTACATCTTGCCTCAGTGTGGCACATTTGTGACATTTAATGAGCCAATATTCACACGTTATTATTAAAGTTCATAGTTTATATTAGGGTTCGTTCTTTATGTTGTGCAGTTCTATGGATTTTGACAAATGCGTAGTGTCCTGTCTCTACCATTACAGAATAGTACAGACTGGTTTTACTGTCTTAAAAATCTCCTGTGTTCCACATATCCATCTCTCCCTTCTCCCCCTGAACTGCTGGCAATCGCTCATCTTCTTACTGTCCGCATAGTTTTGCCTTTTCCAGAATGTCCTATAATTGGAATCATATGGTATGTAGCTTTTTCAGACTGGCGTCTTTCATTTAGCAATATGCAAAAGACCAGTAATACAGGCCTTTCTGTAGCTTGATAGCTCATTTCTTTTTATTACTGAATAATACTACATTGTATGAATGTGCCACAGTTTGTTTATCCATTCACTATTAAAGGAAACTTTGTTTCAATTTGGGGCAATTATAAATAAAGCTGCTATAAACATTTGTGTGCAGGTTTCCATGTGGACTTACATTTTTACTCATTTGAGTAAACACCTAGAAGCACAGTGCTGTGTCATTTGTAAGAAACTACAAGACTGTCTTGCAAGGTGGCTGTACCATTTTGCGTTCCCACCAACAATGAACGAGAGTTCCTGTTATTCCACGTCTTCTCCAGCATTCAGTGTTGTCAGTGTTTTTGATTTCAGCTTTTCTAATAGGTATATTATAGTGGTGTCTCTTTAAATTTGCAGTTCTCTAATGACATATATTAAGCATCTTTTCATATGCTTATTTGCCATCTATCTTCTTTGGTGAAGATTTTGTAATTAGGTTATTTTCTTATTGTTGAGTATTAAGAGTTCTTTGTATATTTTGAATACAAGCCTTTTATCAGACATGTGTTTTGCAAAGTTTTTCCTGGTTTGTGGCTTTTCTTTTCATTCTCTTAACAGTGTCTTTCTCAGAACAAAAGGTTTTATTTTAATAAAGTCCAATTTATCAATTTTTACTTTCATCGATCATTCTTGGGTGTTGTATCTAAAAAGTCATCACCAAACCGAAGGTTACCTAGATTTTCTATGTTATCTTTTAGAAGTTGTATAGTTTTGCAATTTGCATTTAGGTCTCTGATCCATTTCTAATTAGTTGTGAAAGATGTAAGGTCTGTGTAGACTCTTTTTATTTTTATTTTATTTTATTTTATTTGCGTGTGATGTCCGGTTGTCCCAGCAGCATTTGTTAAAAACACTACCCTTTCTCCATTGAATTGCTCTTGCTCCTTTGTCAAAGATCTGTTGACTAAATTTGTGTGAATCTGTTTGTGGGCTCTCTATCCTGTTTCATTGATCTTTTTGTTTATTCTTTCACTGTTAACACTGTCTTGATCACTGTAGCTTTATAGTAAGTTTTAAAGTTGGATAGTGTCACTCCTCTGACTCTATTCTACTTTAATACTGTGTTGACTATTCTGATCTTCTGCTTCTCCATATAAACATTAGAATCAGTTTGTTGATATCCATAAAATAACTTGCTGGGACTTGGAATGGGATAGTATTGATTCTATAGATCAAATTGGAAATAATTGATATCATAATAAGTCTTCTGATCCATAGATGTAAAATACCTTTCCATTTATTTAGATATTATTTGATCTCTTTCACCAGAGTTTTATAGTTTCCCTCACACAGACCTTGTACATATTTTGTTAGATTTGCACCTAAGGTTTTTGTTGTTGTAGTTGCTGTTTTTGTTTTGTTTTGTTGGCACTACTGTAAATGGTCTTGTGTTTTTAATTTCAAATTCTGAATTGGCTATTGCTTATATATAGGAAAGCAATTAACTTTTGTGTATTGTGTATCCTGCAACCTGACTGTAATCATTTATTTAAAAAACCAGAAGTGTTTTTTGTCAATTATTTGGGATTTTCTGTATAGATAGTTATATCATCTGTGAACAGAGATAGTTTTATTTATTCCTTCCCAATCTGTATACCTTTTATTTCTTATTCTTGTCTTATTGCATTAGCTAGGACTTCCAGTGTGATGTTAAATAGGAGTGGAAAGAAGGGATACACACGTCTTGTTTCTCACCATTAAGTATGGTGTTAGTTGTAGGGTTTTTGTAGATGTTCTTTATCCCATTGAGGAAATTCTCTTCTATTCCTAATCTTTATCATGAATGAATTTTTATGAATGGTGTGATAAATTACATTAACTGATTTTTGAATGTTGAACCAACTTGGTAAACCTGGAATAATCCCTCTTGGTTATGGTGTAAAATTGTTTTTAGGGTCTGGTCACTTAGCTCAGTTGGTTAGAGAGTGGCATTACAACACTGAGGTCAAGGGTTTTGATCCCCATACTGGCCAGCCGCACCCCCCCCCCCAAAAAAAGAAAAAGAAATAAATAAAATTGTTTTTACATATTGTTGGATTCAATTTCCTAAAATTTTGTTGAGAATGTTTGCATCTACATTCATGAGAGATATTGGTCTATAATTTTCCTTCATGGTAACATCTGCCTGCTTTAGTATTAGACAATGATGACCTCATTGAATGAGTTAAGAAGTATTCCTTCTGCTTCTATTTTCTGGAGGAGATTATAGAGAATTGATATCATTTTTTCCTTAAATCTTTGGTAAAATCCACTAGTAAAACTATCTGCACCTGATGCTTTCTTCTTTGGAAGGATTTTAATTATTGGTTTGATTTCTTTAATAGATATAGCCCTCCCTACTCAGATTATTTCTCCTTGTACAAGCTTTGGTCAATGATATTTTGAAGTATTATTTCCAGTAGGATCAAGTATATATTCATAATGATGATTACTATGAATTAGTCAAATCATGAAGACGTTCTTGCAAATTAGGAGTTAGAAAAAACTTATCTTTGCTACCAATAAAGGTTCTAATAAATTCTATTGCATATATTTAATCCACTGCAAAAAGTAAGTTTCAGATTTTATTACTGAAAGAAGCATAGAAATTCATTTCAGACTATCAGTGCCAAACAGTGATAAATTAATGAAACATCAACAGCAGTGAGAGGTTTTTCAAGTTTTCACAACTCTTTTTAAGATCAAAAAGCACTATTTCAAAATGGAAGAGTCAGAGCCAAATCATTTTAAAAAGAAAAAAAAATTACTTGTACGGGTTCAAGGGAATCAGACTTCAGAAAGAATGGCTCACCAAACAGGTATTTAGAGGAAAATATACAGAAAATCACCATGGATACTACTTTTATTAGTTTGCTCATGGTGGAAAAGACAAAATCTTATGTGATTATCACATTCAGAAAGGTTTGACATAACTTGCAACATCAGCTATATAGAAGTCAAGAATAAAATTGTCTTTGCTGGTGATCTGGACATATAAGAGATGCTCAATATTTCATTATTTGGGGACCAGAAATTGACAGGGTGACACTGCTATTTTTGGTTAATCATAGGGTACAAAGTGCTTCATCACGATGGAAACAAGAAAGTGTCTTCTTTGTTTCCAGAAGCATAAAGCAAATGTCACTACTACAAAATATATGTAGAATATTTTTTATAACTATTCACTGTTATAAGTAAATAAAATCTCAAGGTTGAATTGTAGACTCTCGGCTACTCTATAAGCCCTTCCTGGTGCAACAGACTGAACTATACTCTTTTCTTGACCTTTCCCATAAATGAAGACAGCTCAAGTTATGTCCATGCCATCCTGATGTTGGCAAGAGGTGGACCCTTGACTATCATATATTTAATGTTTACAATTGTGTATGGCCTAAATATCACTGCTGTAGTTACAGAAACTCTTGTGAAATAATTTTAAAAACTGTTTCTTTGTGGAAGAAAGCCTATTTCTAGTGATTGTGATGGAAATTAATAGAAAATATAGATGTCTAAGAAAGTGATGGTTCTCAGTGGCAAAACATAAGATTTATGAAACAAATGATTGAATCTTTTGCATATATACTCAGGAATTCTCTTCTCTCTCTGGTAAAATTTGGCAGCTTCTTTTTCTTTCTTTTATCTCTCTCCCCCCTCCCCTTCCTCCCTCATTCCCTCCCTATTTTAAAGGGAATGAGGGTGGGGAGGGGGACCTGTATGTGCAAGCCCATACATGCACCCATTACTTCATCTTCTTAAAAGGATTTTAAATTCTGATTCTTTCACTCAATATATTCACTAGCCTTCCTTAAAGATTTAGCTATAAGGAATAAAAGTTGAAGCAAGTGTTTATCTGATAATTATAGTAGGAACTGGATGCTGAGAGAAAAAAGACATCATTACAGTGGCAGGTGAGAAAATTTCCTCATATACAATTTTAACAAGACATTTAGAATGTTTAAAAGGAATTAAGCCAATTCAGGTTATTATTCTTAGTATTCTTTACTAGTTGTTGACTATATATTCCTTACTAACCTAATTTAGCAGGCAACCACAGTCTTTTGAAGGGGCCGTAGAAAAAAATTACCCAATCCATTGATAACAACTTGGTGATAACGTTCTCTCTTTTGATTTCAAAGGTGTCCTTGAATGGCCATTTTGGACAAAACTGGTTGTGGTGGCCATTGGCTTCACAGGAGGTCTCGTCTTCATGTATGTACAGTGTAAAGTCTATGTTCAGCTGTGGCGCAGGCTGAAGGCCTACAACCGCGTGATCTTTGTGCAAAATTGTCCAGACACTGCCAAAAAACTGGAGAAAAATTTCTCGTGTAATATAAACACAGACATCAAGGATGCCGTGGTAGTGCCTGTATCACAAACAGGTACAAATTCACTGCCATCTGCAGAGGGCAGTCCCCCTGAAGTTATACCAGTTTGATGGAACCAGTTGGGAGTTTCTTCACTGAAGAATATCTTTCTAGCCCTCAGCCACTACAAATGACAGAAGTGATCCTGAATTATTCACTCCCTTTTGCTCCTCTTTTCTCCTACTGGCACGTTTTTCCTTACTTTGTTTAAAAAGGAAGAGGGGAAAAATACACCAAATGACCAGGATCCCATGAAGCACAGCCTAAAGTGTGATACGGAAATGGGAAAAGTTTGCCAGAGAATGATTTCAAAGACAATTCAGAATCACTGGAGCAGGAATGCTTTTAGGCAATGATAAAAGATTAAATGGACACATGATATTCTTCACAGTAGCAGGGGAAAGTTCAAGAATACAGACTTGAATTGTAACGTGTATTCCTTCTAGGGTCTTGTATGTTAACTATCTCATCTGGAAATAACAAACATATTTGGTTTTAAGCCTGAAACTGTCTGCATCATCCCTAAGTTACATTGAAAGCAAACTTGGAGGATGCATATTTTGATATGCTTTAACAGCTAATAGATTTTTATGGCTATAGTGGAGTCAGTTATTTTGACAGATGCATGTTTTTTAAAATAGGTGCAATATACATTTGAAAATATTAATAATTGGAATCATGTTTAAATCACGAGCAAAAAAAAAAAAATCCTGAAAATGTTGGGGTTTAATTAGCTCTGTTAAATACCCACAGAAGCCGAAATCAGTTATCAGGTCTTATATTTTATCTCGTTCCTCTAATACAGTGCTGTCCAACAGAAATATGACATGGGCCACAAATGTGAGCCACATATGTAAATTTTAAATCTCCTTGTAGCCCCAATAGAAAAAGTAAAAATAGGTGAAATTAATTTTGATAATTTTTAATTTAACGGTATATATAAAAGTTATTTCAACATCAATATAAAAAATTAAGATAGTTCTTATCTTTTATTTTTCTTCTAACCAAGTCTTCAAAATCCAGTATGTATTTTACAGCACACCTCAATTTGAGTTAATCATATTGGATAGCAGAGCCCTAAAATTAGAGACTAAGCCTCTGCTTCATTTAACAGTTAAATATTTCAAGACATCAGCTTAATTCATTCCTTTATTTCAAAGTCTCACGAATGTTATGATTTTACAAAGCAGTAAATTGATCAAATTAAGCATAGTGGTTTGAAGAGTTAGATGAAGTTAACATTTCTTTAAAGGGAGAAAAAACAAAAGTAAGTATAGAAAGATAAAACAATCTGTATGTAGCAAAGTTATTAACTTCTGTTTGCTACTAGGAAGCACTTATGATAGGGAAATAAAAATTAAATATTTTTGTTGTTAAATCAAAAGTGTAAGGTTTTTTGGTTTTTTTTTTTTTCTTTAAACACATATGAGGTGTCAACTTGACAGATGAGTAGTTATGACCAAGAATCCAGACCTTATTTTAAAAAGCTGACATTATTTATCTTGCATAGTTGGGAAGCAAAAAATTCAACAGATTCTGTGATAAGTAATAAATTGAGTTGTTTAGGTTTGACAATTGATTATTGTGTTCTTTGCATATTCATGTAAAACTGAAGTCTGAATGATATTGCAGTGAACTGAAGATTATAGATATGGTAGCCTGTCAAAGAAAGATACTCTACATAAAAAATGGTGACTTATTTTTGTTAACTGTTGTATTTACTATTGTGAAAAGGCAAAGATGGCCATAAGAACCAAAGTATGGGTATCACATTGCACAAATCTGGGTATCACATTGACGCACTTTGTAATTAGTGTGCTTGTTCTTCACAGATTGTCATAGGAAAAAGGGAAAATAACCTTTAAATAAGGAGAAAGATATTATTACTATTAGTAGTGACTTACACTGAGTCCAAATAGTCCCACTTCCTAGAAATAAAGAAAAGGTAAACAATGTCAAGTGTGTGTGTGTGTGTGTGTGTGTGTGTGTGTGTGTGTGTGTGTGTGTGTGTGTGTGTGTGTGTGTGTGTGTGTGTGTGTGTGTGTGTGTGGCGTATGTGTATTAATGTACATATGCAAGAAAAATGTTAAGGTATCCAGTCAGGAAACAAAAGGTTTAAAACCATCTTTCTTAAAACTTACAGGGATATGGAATAAAGGCACAGGGAGGCCAAAGTTGAGGCAAGTAAATGGAACTAAAAATTCTGCACAGATAAGGACATAAGTGACATTATAAAAAAAAAAACATGAACAATAAACTAAACTTTGTTTTAACTTTTCTTAAATTTCTGTTTTAAAGATCTGAGACAAATACATTTATGAATAACAAAGCTTTGGGTGATTTAACCATAACAACATACCCAAGGGATTTACCTTGATTCAATTTTACTGTTAATTTTCCCACCTACGCTTTTTGCTAATCCATTTTCCTGTGGTGTAGTAATGGCAACATGCTGCTTATGAACACTCCTGGGGAAATAATCTAGTCACCAGCAAACAAAACAATGCTCTGGAAGGAAAAGGATTACTTACCTTGATTATCATGAAAAAAACTTTTTTTAAATTCTGTACAAACCTAAGGAAGACAGATAAATGCAGAGCTCATTTCACAGTGGGAGATGATTGGCTAAAATAAAGTCTCATTTATTAAGGCCTACATGTAACACTAAGAAAATATTTCTAGAGTGAAAAGCAAAGATAAGCATTACTACATTCATGATAAAAGATAACATATTTTCAAACTATACCTAAATTCTGGAAATTAACTTTTATGGGCTTTGACTTTTTTGAAATGAGAAAATAATATAGTTCCCTGGTTAAAATAAAAGTCAACAAACAAAATTGCTATTCTTTTGACCTTTTAAAACCTTGAACTTCTGAATTTAAATCTTTTAAAAAGCTCTTCTTCAGTGTTTGTTTATGGTTCAAACATCTGAAATAACAACATGCATTTAAAACCTAATCTTGATTATTTTCTTTTTACATTTTGTGTGGCAATGGAATATTTGCCCTTTCAAACAATGAAAAGATTTGGCTTTGACTGGTTGGATATACTCCTCAAAAGAAAAACTGCTCTACAGAATTACAGTTTTTTGAGGCATGTTTAAGCAGTAATATGGAATTGAAACAAAGGATTAAAATTGAAGAATGAACTTACAATTGTTAAAAACCCTAGCTTTTTATAATCATGCATCTGTGGTATTATCAATCCCATAAACCACAGACATTGATACTGTTAATTTTTTAACTGAAGAACTGTCACCTTTATTGTATAGGACTAAAGACTAAATAGTAAAAAAATGAAATTCCAATTCTTTTAGAAAGTGAACACCAAAAGACAATTAAGCTTAAATACAAAATCAAACAAAACAAAACAAAACAACAGCAACAACAAAAATTCCAAACAAAAGTGATCCCAACAACTTGGAACACAGCAATGCAGAAGTTGAAGAAAGACAAGTATATATTAAGGAGTTTCTTAATGCCTCAGCATTAAATCTCACTGAGCTGCTGTTACACGTGATTTATAGTCCCAGAGGAGATGGCCTAATAGTAATATTTTATCTAGTTTTGCAAAAGAGCCTTGGCTACCCTTTAAAACATCTATTCTTTGTCTAGAAAATTAGCTCATTAGAACAACATCATTAAGAGAAATTATAAGGGTCAGGGGGTAAAGTAAGAACATTATTCCTTCTGCCCAACATAGTTTACCCTTCTTTGTTTTGAAAAGAGTATTTTGGAACTCAGTAGAGCTCTTAAAAGTTATTACCATCATTATTGTAAGTCATTATATAATAATTGGGAAAGATGAAAACCTTTTTTCTTTCTTAAGTCAGCCCAATGGTGCTATTTTACATATCAATACAGTTAAAGCAAAGTATTGTATTTTGGGCTGCAGTGTTTCCTCCACATTTGACAAAGCCCATTTTGAAACTGGATATTGCATTAAAACAAAAAGTAAAAATTATTTTAACTGTGTGCAATTTTTGAGATTGGGCATTTGTACTTTTTTGGTTTTATCTAATTCTCTTGCATTAACAATTTACTGTTTTGTGAATAATGTGTACTAAGAGAAATTAGGAAAAGAAATAATTATCTGTGAAACACTTTGTATATTAAACAAGTGAACCAAACCTTGGTTGTGGTTTCTATATTTTTTGTCTAACATGCTGCAATTTCTACAGATTTGTATTTGCAATATTCAAACACGTTTGAATTCTTGACTTAAAATTTTACTGTGGTCTGTCTGGGTTTTTAAGCAGGGTTTGAACATATTTATAATTATTTTAAAGCAAACATTCATTGACTAACCCATGACATTGTAGAAAGGACACAAGAGGAAACCAATGGAAATAATCTATATAGAATTTCAAAACCTCTTTTAAAAAATGTTAAAGATAAATCACAATGTAACCTAGAAGGATTTTCTCATGAATAATGCTCGGGTATAGAAAAATAAGAATATAATGGCATTTTTGTACTTAGAGATAATGAAAGAGTAGATTTGTAAGACCAGACTAAAAGCACAATTCTTACTTGATGGGAAGGCTCATCTCGCAAAGACCAGGAGGCACAGAGATGGATGCACAAGCAAGAGGTTTTTATTTCCGGCATGCTGGAGGTCGCCCCGTTTTCAGGACAGGAGCGGCCCCGAGCTCTTAACTCAAGCATCTTTTATACAGTTTGGTAGGCAGGCTTTGGTAACAGGCTGGGTTGTACGCCGTTTATTGGCCACTTTAAGCAATTTTTAAAACCATTGGGCTTTTAGCTTTCGGCGGGCAAAGGAAAGACTGAGGTATTGACCAACGGTCCACCCCCCCCCCCC